TATAATCTAATATTATGTTATATTAATTATTCTTTACTATTATATATTATTATATTAATTATTCTTTATTATTATATTATATAATTATACCATAATGATATATTATTATATATTATTATAGATTATAATTATATATTAGTATATTGTATTATATTATTATATACATTATATATTATATGTTATATTATTATGTAAATATTATATTAATCTATAATAATATTGCATTTGATCTTTTTCCATTGTTTTACGTTGGAGTTTGTAAATGGCTCATATAAAAGAATTATTCACAATTATTCATATTATTGCAGTTTATAGAATTTTTAAATTGTCTTTCATTATCCACAATTTTTGTAATTCAATGTCTAATGACATAATCAATTTGAAGAAGCTATTTTTACTAATTCTCTTACGATTAGTATCGTTCCAGATTTACTATGCAATTAACACTACATAGGTAAATAAACGTGCAACATTTATTTCTATATCAACATTTTTTTCTGCTTTGTTAAAAGCGACTAATTACGCCATCTATGACTTCTGCGTTAGGTAATCGAAGTCCGGATGGCCAAGACTCCGATTAATCTGGCTCGCAGATAATCGGATCCTAGTTAATCGAAGCTCCGCTATATTAATAAGTTTACTAAAAGTAGATTTCTTTAATCCGGATCGGATTATTTTAATCTGTCTATACGGGGTGACCAATCCGAATGTAACCGCCTGAATAGCTCCTCCGAGTTGCGATGATAGCAAAAATATAATATTTGTACGATTTTTAATATGATTGATGATATGATGATTTTTACATAAATGTTCTTAGATATTTAAAAAATAGAAATGCATCATATTGAACTCTGAAATCCAAGTAGATTGAAAATAAAAATAATTTACAGACTAACGAACCTTCAATTTAATTTTTCATCAGTTCAATTGCGACATATTTGATTTTTACAAGCTCAATCTCCTGAAACATTTCGAAATCCTAACAATTTAACGTGTTCCAAAATATTAGATACTGAATAATTCAACAAACAAAACTTCACTTTCCATTCAATTACAATAAAACATTCTTAAGTTGAAAGAGTAACAAAACTTAGTTAATACAAAATATTGTCATTGCTTAATCTACTCTTTCATAAATAGAAAAATCATTGCAACGAAGGTATATAAAAATCTCTCTCAAAAATATTATTTTCAAAGACTTAAAACTCCTTCGAGCATAAAATATTCTCTTTAGATATCCTTTCAGCGAAGTCGCCCATTTTGTTCAGAATGTAGACTATTTAATACTTGAACTGATATTTTACTAGCAACACTAGCAACAACACCTGTGGGAAAACCACGTCATATTCTCTTCTCGCATTCGGCACAGCAAACAAAATATCCGCAGCGCCCGTTGGAAGGTAACAACCTAACAGCGTGGTACAATTTTGGGTTTACTACCCTTCTCTCGGTTCTACTGCTCCATTACTTTCGACCCAGTCTCGCTGATGGGGTCAGATAATTCGTTTGGTTAAGAAACGCCGAAGGGAAAAATTCTTTGCAGCCAGAAAAGACGAGTGCGTCATCCTTAAAACCTTGAAAATATTATTTTGAGTATTATATTATATCGTATGTTGAGTATCATGTATTATATATTTTATATTATTTAATATTTCATATATAAACATTATATTCAACATATAATATAATATAATAATATAATAATATAATATATAATATATATTGAGTATTATATATTAATATATTAATAATATATATAATATAGTAATATAATATAATATAATGTAGTATAATAATATATTATATTTATATGTAATATTATAATATAATATATTATTATATTGAGTATTATATATTATATATTTAATATTTCATATATATATATTAAATATTAATATTTCAACATTAAATAATAAATATATATATAATATATAATATTATAATATAATATATAATATATATTGAGTATTATATTATATATTTAATATTCAACATATAATATAATATAATATAACACTCAAAATAATATTTTCAAGGTTTCAAAGGTAAAAGACCTCTCTAATATTCATTATATTATATTATATTATATTAGATATGCTAATATTTTAAACTATTATATAAATTCAAGATAAATTCAAGATAAACAAATAAATTAGCTAATTCAAGAAATACAACTTCACATTCAATCCAATTGAAGTGAAACATTTTTATTTCGAAAGAG